AAAATCTAACATGTTTGCATAGGTTCCTTTCTAGTTCCTTGGGTTCAAAGTCCTGTGCTGAACCAGTATCAGAGAGAGTGACTTTGACTCTAGTGCTCAAATCTCACAGGAGAGGAAGAGCTTTGTGTTAACAGCTCCTGTCCTAGAAGACAGACATCCAATGTTTCTTATCTCTCTGCTACTCCTGAGTTCACTGCAATTTCTGGAAGGGTCATACTGGCATCCAGACCACTGGGCCTGCCTGCAGTTGCAGACAGCTTGTTATTTCTTGACGAGGTGTGCTTTTCTCCTCCTCTCCAAATGTGGAAAATCTCAGAGTTCACAAAAAAGAGAATGGGTGAGAAGATAAGGGAGTTGAATGACCTGTCACCTCCTGAACACACACACAACCCTGACGCACACAGAGACACAGGCAGAGGGAAATCACTCAGCACCTCCAAGTGTATACATCAGGGATGTGTTACACACACAGATGACAGTATTATGTAGAATATTTTCATCTGAAGTGATGGTGGAAGCTGCAGACTCCCAGTTAGCTGAATTTTTATTTTTTGTTAATCTAGGACATCTACTGCTATTTCCCCCCCACCTCCTTGGCCAGGGTCAAATTGTGCTTTCATATATCTAAATATTAGGGCCAAGCTCTGCCTGATGTAGGTGCAGGAGACTAAGAACAGAAAAGACCTTGAACTCAGATGAGTCAGGCTGAGGAATGAAGTTGTCCCACTGTGTTTGAAAAACCTGCATCAAATAGTTATATGATAGTGGTATCCAGGCTTACACTTAACATACAGGGAGCGCTCTCTAATTCTCTTGGGATTCTCTCTTTTTGCCTTAGAGAAACATGGGTCCTTAGAGACCCCAACAAAAGTGACAAAACTGGACTTGGGATAAGCTAAATGAAGGCTCACGTGCTTTTTGCTAGAAAAAGAATAAATCAATTCTATCTCTGATGTAAATGCTGCAAAGAAGATAATGGATATTACTCAGCTTGTCCTTAACTAACAGGATGAAGAGCATGCAGTTCAGGATTACAGAGCCTGGTGCTCTTTCCAGTTTGTTTATCTTTGCAGGGAGAAGCTAACCTTTATGAATTGGCAGATAATGCTAAATTGGGCAGAGCTGTGTACAGGGCAGAGGGAGCTTTGGAAAACGGAAACATGCTGAGAAATTTGGGGACTGCTGTAGTAAAACTGTTCATGGAGAGAAGCTGATCTTAAGCACTGCTTAGTCAGTGGGGGAGGCTGGTATAAGGGACGTGGCAGTGATGGCAGGCATCACATTGAGCCCAATATAGCACCAGAAAACCTGCCCATGTGATTTTAGACTGGTTCATAAGACGGCATGAGCCGCAACTTGTTATAGTGTTGAAATAAAACAGACTGGAGAGGTAGTGGGAGAAGAGGGCTCTCATTCAGACTTTTCCCATCCTTTCTTCCCTCCTTTCCCCGCAGTGTCTCCCTGCCTATCACTTCCCCATTGCTCTCCTACAGTCAAGCTCCCACCGCAGAACCTTGCCTCAGCTTTTTGGCAGTTTTGACCAATTAGCTCTCTACAACAACCAGATTGCTAATGCTTTCAGATTTAGAAAGGGGAAATTTTCAGTGAATATCTACTTCCCACTTAGTACTACCCTGTCAAATCATATTTATTCCTTCTTTCCAAAAATCTGTAGGATTCTTTTCACGCACCGGTGTCATTGCTGCATCCTTGCCTCAAGTATTTAATTTCTCATTCAGGGTGAACTGGCTGTAGCTTGTGAGTGGATTATTTTGTATACTCAGTGTATGTACATATATATATGCCACCCTCCCTGCCCGCCTTTAAAAACAACTAGTAATAAATTTGCAAAACCCAGCAGTAGGGAGTTAGGAAACGCTAGAGTTACTGTTCTCAGTAATCTTAATTCAATCTTTTTGTGCCTGTGCCTCATAGCTATGAGTCTTTAACCACATCCTCACATTGTCACCTCATTCTTTGCACAGGATGCCTGCCTTGTTCTGTGCCAGCCTGGCTGGGGCTTTCTTGAACAGCAGCTATTCAATGTTTTGTTTTCTCCTCATTGTTCAGTGGGTGGCCTGTGCCTCATTTACTGTACATTATTCAAGTCCAGTTCTAAAGACAGAATTATTAGTTTCCTCATGGACTTTCCTATGGCTTTCATCACAACAGCATCTGATTGCTTTACAATTATTAATTTGCTGATTTTCATTACCATGAGGAGGTGAGGAAATGGTATTAGATCAACTTTACAGCTGAGGAACTAAGTCAGTAAAAGATTAAGATTAAAATGTTCATTAATTTTGGAAGCTGTTTGGTGATGTTGCTAATTTTTTTTTTCAGTGTACCTAGCACTATATAACATGTGTTAAAAGCAGAGCTCTGTCTGGTTAATGGTGGAGTGGGAGAGTTTATCACTTCCCCCAGTTGGACCACATCTAGAAGTCAGATATCCAGAAGACAAGAGACACCACTGAGGCGATATTTGTGAAGAAAGGTGGCTTAAGTGATTTGCCCCATCATGACAGAGGAAACTGGAGTAAGAAGCAAGAATTAACTCTAGTCCTCTTGGACAGCTTTATCGGATTTTAAACTGGAGATAGTGTTTCTCGCATCCCACTATTCCTTCCCTTCTTCACCAGACATCCGAATGCAGCCAAGGACCCTGAAGCTCTGCAGCAGTCAGCCTCACCAGACTGCTTCACTTCTTGAGGAACCCTGTGCCCTGACCACGGCATCTGTCAGCTTTTCTGCTTTTAAAGGAGAGGAGTTTCATATGGAGATTCTCAACTATTCTCAATGCATGTCCGTATAAATGAAGATAATGAAGAAAGACGGAAATGTAAGTGTAAACCCCTTAGTTCTTACATTAAAAACCACTGACCCCTCTTTAAAGATACGCTAGAGAGACTTAGAAGCATGCATCTGCTTATTACTTACTGTGTGGCATGAATATTTCTTTGTTTTGGGAAAGAGCTGGCATGCCTGAGTACTGTTCATAGAGATCTTTCTGTTGCTTATCAATAGCCATAAAACTGATTCCCCCCCCCCTCTTTATGAATTCTTAGACCAAAGAATGAAGTTTCTCTGGTGCCTCCTGGGAACTATTTCTAATTTTAAGCCTCTGTCCTCGTGCATCATACAACAGCACCCGAGGTGTGGAGTAGTCTCTGAAATGTGCTCCCTAATGACATGGTATAGTGCTGAATTACTCATTCCTTCTCTATTTTCGATGCTGCGAGATAAGTCAGAAAACAAGGGCAAACATGCACAATGTGTGAAATCTGTCTGAAGGTCAAAAAGAGAAGAGAGGCTAGGGTATGAAGTTCTGTATTTTCTGGCAAGGTTTACATTTTTCTCGTGAAAGACTGTAATACTCAAATATTGTGATAATATATACTGCTGAGTGGAAAAAACCCAACAACCCCAAATAGTTATAGTAGCAGGAATACTTAACATAGTTCCCAAGCGACCATAGCCTGATGAGTATTTTAAACCCTGAAGCCTCAGGAATTCTCCTAAACTACTGTTCTGCTCCCAAGGAAAGGGGGAAGAAAGTTAGAAATCTGTGCTCTTCGCAGAGTAGAATTTGAAAAGACGAGCAAATGCAGAATTTTTTTGGCTTCTGGTGCAAATATTGAATACTGTGAGGCTTCTGAATAACAGTATAAACCACCCCTAGCTGCATGCATATGCACACATATATTACATGCATTAAGTTCTCTAGCCTTAAAGAGAGGATCATATAGGCAGCAGTAGGGAAAACCTCTCACACATACTGCTTCACCAAGGTATTTTGACAGGTTTATTAGCATGGAGGAAGAATTCAACGATTAAGACTCATTCAGCCCATGACTTTTTTAGCTGAGGTTTGCCCAGAAATGCTACTTCCGTGATCCTCTGATGGTTTTCACGATACTTCAGGGACAGAGGCACTGCCTCAGTTTACCTGAGCTGTTAAAATCAGAGTGCCACAAAGCTTATTAGACATGACTAATGACCAGTAAAATGACCCTTTAGGAAATCAAAGGAGTCACCACAGATCAGAGGTGGCAATTAGCAAGCAACCTTTACACTCATTGTGATTGCTTCTTTTCAGGCGGATGTGTAGGGGTACGGTGTTTTCAAGCTGGGCTATTCTTTGAAACATGTGGTGGCAATGCTAGTAGTATTAAATTATGGAAATGTAATTGAATAATTATTCCAAGTACAAAAAGGGGAAAAAAAAGTCCGGAAGGCAAATGAAAAGAAGCAGCAGCTGCTAGTGGGAGAGGGTGTTTGTCCCTCTAGGTCTGCATGCCTCTTTGCTGAGGCTGCCCTGGGCAGTGTCGGGATAGAGAAGAAAGGCATTCCTCCCACGGCGCGTGCAATGCGGGTGACTGGGAGATACGAGCAAGTCACTTCTCTACATATGAGTTATGTTCCCAGGCTCCATGTCACAGACTATTCAGGACGCAATATGCTCAAGGAAAAGAAACTGCAATATTTTGAAACCATCCCGCACGCTTCGGAATATAGGCGGTTCACGCAGACACTTGATAAAGTGTTTATACCCTGAGAGCGTCTCATAGGTAAGAGTTCCCCTCACCACCCTCCCCAGAACAGCCTGACAGCATGCTGAAATGGGATCTGACAGAAACTGAAATTTGCACATTATACTGTCTGAGGATACTTGGGGCTCTTCTCCTGCTTTCCTGGACATTGAAATCTATCGGTATCCATGTTCATTGCAGGGAGGCTTCCTCATAATTTCTGTAGCTGCCTGTGGCAAAAAAAAGTTTAATTTTTAAAATGTCCCAAGCCCATCTTCTTAGTAGTGGGAATGTTTTGGAGAGAAATTGAAAGAAAAAGTAAATTTTGTAAGCTATTTTTGGCCATCCTTCTTTTCCTGCCTCACCAAGTCCTTCTCTCCCCTCATGCTGTTTTCCCCTTGAGTGTAACAGCTTGATCTGCCATCGATGCTTCTGCAGTTCTGTTATTTCCCCCTTATGGTTACTTACCTGATTTTCAGTAGCTTGTCTTCCGTCTCCTTTCCTTGCTTTAGCACTTTTCCTTTCTGTAGTTGAGTTGGACTCCTTGTTCTTCTCAGTTGCTTGGTTTTATTCCTTTAATATGGTTCTCTCTCTCTTCCTCTCTTTTTCTCCACCCCCTTTCTGTGTCACTTTCTGTCTTCCCCACTGCCTCTCTGCCTTTCCCCCTCTTCTTTCTTCACTTACTTTTCTTGTCTCTCCCACCCCCTCCAGCTTAATCTTTCTATTTTCAAACCTAGTTTCCTGTTGTTTTTCCTTTGAAGACCATGGATCTCATTCCTCCCTCTCCATTCTCAGCTTTTCCCTGTGCCACTCTCCCCGTGCCACTCTCCCCATGCCGACAGGATGCACTCGTTGCCGGCTTCGCGCTGTCCCTTCCAGTTGCCGCTACCACTGTTCCTCGCACCTCCTCCCCCAGATAACATGCCATTGTCTAAGCCTTCCTTAAACGAAAAGAGACAGGGTTGCCCCACAGTTACACCAGCCAGACGCTGGGAAGCTTTTTCCGTGCAAGACATCAACAAAGGACGTTTTTCTGACTTGTTCAAACTTAATATGGCAAAGCAGAGTTTGTGTGGAGCAGTGTCTTCCACCTCTTCAAATAACATAGGATTTGCTTTGCTGGCTTGGACCAGGGGACCAGCACAGCTGTAGCCTTATCCCAAAGGGCGCCTGATGTTTCCCAGGAGGGTTTTACAGGCCCCCTTCCTGACAAATAGAGAATAACCTGCCTGTCAGGAGAAGGTTTTTTTGACATACCACCTCCCTGCGCACACAGTCTGATGCATGAGTATTTGGGCCTTTCTAGAAAATGCTTTTGGCACATCAAGTGTCTGAAGGTCTTGTACTTCATGTATGTGTCAAGTCGAGCCTCTAATTCCTGCACATCAGGCCCCAGAGAGGAGGATGAATCAGAGATGCCTTCTGGCTTTGATAAAAGCTGGTCTCAAAGAACCAGTGTCAGGAGAGTGAGATTTGCACAGAAGCCTGTGCTACCCTGCGAACTGGCTTGCTGCGCACAAGCTTTGGCGGGTGTCCCTCCAGCAATCCTTCCTGGTCTAGATATCTCCCATCCAGAACATAATTGCCCAGCAGTGCCTATGCAGCATCTAGTGTAGATCATGAAGCAGAAGCAGTCTGGAGACTAAAACACAGGGCTTGCAACTCTTATTAATCTAATCATTGTTCTCCCACTGATTTAGTAACCCCTTTCGTCACAAGATTGAAAGCCAGCCTACGCAGGGACAGTGCTGTGCAGAGCCTACCTCTCGAGGCATGTCCTGTGTGGACACTCTCATGCTGAAGTTAAGAGTGCAACTCCTTTTCAAGAGGGCTGAATCCTCCCTGATGGTTAGTGCAGGACATACAGTGCACAGTAAATTCCCATAGCAGCTCAGTAAACTCCTGGTATGGAGAAACCCATAGTAATTTGCTGCTTCATTTCTAACCTCATTGAAAAGCCTTTTGTGACTTCAAAGAAAATGGGAATGTTTCTGGAGTTGTTTCTTCCTCTCCTGCCTGGCAGTTGTATACCTGTGATAGAATTTCATGGGAAGGAGCATATCACTGTGTTCTTTCATCTTTCCGGAGTAATTTCCATAGACCATTATTATGTGAAGTCATGTTGGTCTTATACCAGTGAAATTCTCAAGGACTTCATCAGAAAAGTGTCCAAAAAAAGGTGTTAATAATACAGATCTAACTCACAGATGGCTTCGGGTTAGGCTAGCTAGGTCTTGTCAAGTGTTTCTCACGTGCTCCAGAGAGGCAGGTCCTGTAAGTGAGCTGTCTGAAATGTAATCCCCTCCCCTCGTGGCTGACACTTTGCTGTACACTCAGAGCGATCAGGTCTGATTCTCCCTGATCACTCCTTTGTGTTTCCTCTCCCAGTATTGTTCGTGAGTGGCACACTCATTCTCCTACAGAGCTAAGCTCTGAATCCAGCTGATGCAGTCTAGCTTTCTTGAATGAATGAGGGAGGGGAGAAGGTTTCTGACCGATACATGTATCATGCACGTGAGGTAACTGTTATGAGCTCTTTTTTTTTTTTTTGGGGGGGGGGGTGTTTCCTCTCCCAGTATTGTTCGTGAGTGGCACACTCATTCTCCTACAGAGCTAAGCTCTGAATCCAGCTGATGCAGTCTAGCTTTCTTGAATGAATGAGGGAGGGGAGAAGGTTTCTGACCGATACATGTATCATGCACGTGAGGTAACTGTTATGAGCTCTTTTTTTTTTTTTTGGTGGTGGTGGTAACTGTTTGAATTTTGATGCACAGAAAGGAAATGAGTGAAGGCAGACAGGGAGGCAAAAGACAGAAAGGTGAGTAGAGACGTTGTATGGATACCTCAGCCAGTCCCTCAATGTGTTTCCCTTCTCTTCTCTACTGCACCCTCTTCAAGGGAAAACAAGGGTGTCATGGCAGCTTCTCCAGCTCCACAGCTAGAGAAATAGCTGTTTTGTCCACTGGTAAGCTGGAAAGAAGGATTTTTCCTCCCCTCCCCAAGAGACTGCTATGCAAAACTTGTACGACTTGAGTGAGGAGAGCAAGTGGAGGAGAATGCTCCCACAGACAGTGGGAATGAGGAGAACAGCTGACAGCTTGCCATGTGCAGCTTGGAGATCTCAGCAGTTTATGATGCTGTGGAATGGATTTTGAAGGAAAGGACTAATAAAGCCAGGATGTAAGGGGAAAATAGGACAACATGCACCATCTTTTGATCAGAGGTAAATAGCTTTCTTGGGGTAAGATTCCTGACCCTCTAGGTAACAGAAACATATCAGGCCTTATCTACCTGGACTTCAGAAAGACGTATGATATGGTGTCCCAGAAGAAGCAAATTAATGGAGAAAATTCAGTTGAAGAAGACAGGGATTGTTAGAGAAGTCCTTAAGAGGGCAAGAGACTGACAGAATTGAGACACCAGTTACCTAATAGGTTGAAGAGAACTTATCTGTAAGGCTGCTGAAAGATTGCTCTTAGGACTGATCTTTTTTAATATTTGTGTTAATTACCTTGGCACTGAAAGTAGAAATGCTAATGAAATCTGCTGATGGAACCAATCTGGGAGGTATTGTCAGGGCAAAGGTGGATTCCAGCACTAGGAGATCTGAAGGCTCTTTGTGACTGGAGTGATCAAGGTGAGGTTAGATGGGAGAGTGCAAAGTCACACACCAGGAACTCGTTGCTCAGAGAGTAACAGGAATCTCTCTTAGCAATTGGGAGTTCCTAGTTGGCAGGACCGAGACAGGGAAAGTCCTGAGTGAAGGTGGCCAAAGGAGGAGGAACCAGTGATGCTATGTGGGGGTGAAAAAGGCAAGTGAGCTTTCAGGACGTAGCGGTATTTCCAGTTGCAGCGAGTGAGATTAATGTCATCCAAGAGGATGTGAGACCCCACCAGAATAGTGCGTGCAGTGCTGCTCACCCACATTCAAGAAAGATATTCAGCCTGGAACAGGTGCAAAGAAAGGCAATGGGGTGGTCAGAGGGATGGAGGGTGTCTCTCGGCCAAGAGTATGTTTACTTATCAGTCACAGAAGTGCCTGCAGAGAGATACTTGAGCTGATTTGAAAATAGATGTGGTACCAGTTTGAGCTTTTCTGTGTTAATTATTTTGCACTGAACTTCATGCTAGCGCAGCTACCCAAAGTAATTAAAACACGGTGTGATGTGCCTGCAGGGTGAATACTGTAAGGGAACTTAGTTACTTAGCCTGGCAGAACAAAGGTTAAGAGAGGAGAGATTTGCTGCCTATAAATACTTTTAGGAATTGGGGGTTGGGAGAGTAAGTGCTAGGGAGAGAGGAGAGCTACATAAGCTAAAGGACAATGTGGCACAAGAATAAATAGATATAAATTGGCCATGAATGAATTTAGGTTGGAAATCAGAAGGTTTCTAAGCAACAGAGCAGGGAAGGAGGTGCTGGAACAGCATTCTAGTAGCACAAGTGAGGGCGGAAACCTAATGAGGTTTAGGACAGAGCTTAGTTAGTTTAGAAAAGGCTATTTGTTTTGTACTTGCCTGCTATTCAAAGGGATTGAACCTGATAAGCCAAGAGGTCCCTTTTTCATTCTATTTCCTGTACTTGCCTTATTGCCTTATCAGAGCTGCTCACTTTCACACAGAAGCCAGGTAAATCCTGTATAGAGCTTGTGTGATGAGTTTTTCGGCATTGATACCATGGATATTTAATGGAAGATTCATTCTGTCTCAGGGATTTAAACAAACAAAAAGAGCAAGCCAACACAATGCGTATAGAAGGTCTGCAAATATGCAGTAGTATAGATGAGAGCTTATATATGAAAGAGCTTCTTCACATAAACCAGATGTTCTTGGAGCGTCTGGCTTTGCTGGAAGGCTGTTTCAAATGCGGGTAGATGCTCTCATGAGATTTGAGAACTCCAAGAGACTGTCTGAAGGGAAACTGTCTTGTACTTTCCTGCCATTACTGAGGACTTTGTGCTTGGGGAGGATATCAAATTTACTGCACTGGGAAATTTCAGAAAAAAACACCATCCAACAGTGGTTGAGATAGAAACTTCTCATATGTATTTCATCTCTGATGTCTGGCTACAGCACTGCAATTATTCTGATTCTTCATATTGTCCCATGCTGGACAGGCACCTCTAGTACCTTCTCGAAAGCATCAAGGGATGCTGTCTTCCTGGTGAAATGTTTTATCTAAAATCCCCATGTGTGGATATGATTGAAAGAGAAGGAGGGAGAGGGAAGTTCTCTGTTATACATCAGACCTCTGGAGACAGCTTGAAGGCATCCTCCAGAAGGAGGCAAATTCCCGAGGACAAGCTGGGCCCAAGGGAACAGGAATGGCATGTGATGATGGGTCCCTGAATGAGGGGGAACGGTTTTATGGTCACAGTTCCTTATTTAGTAAAAAATCCCAAATTATTCCATTATAGATGGACGTTTTCCCCTTCCCAGCCCAGAGTACCAAACCAGCACAGAGTGGGAAAAGAGAAAACAAGAAACAGCAAGGTGTGAAATGTCACTGTGTGTCAGT